AATGGAAAAGGAGCAGTGTCAGCAAGAAAAATGTCCATACGAGGACAAGAGTCCCCACAACAACGGTAAAAAAAAAAAAAAAAAAGAGTCCCCACGAGTATTAAGTACCAGGAAACACACACACGCAGACGTGCGCAACCAGCCTGTCTGTAGAAAACAGAGTTAGTGCTGGCACCAGAGCATGTGAGTGAAGTGGACTGAAGCGGAACAATGAGAATTTCTGCTCAGTGCTCACAGACTCACTGCTCACACGCCGCCGCCGCCGCCCATTTCTGACCGCTCTCTGATGAAATGACCACATGGTTCGTGTCCAAAAAGCTGGACTGGATGTTGTGCTTCCTCTGAGTTCATAGTGTTTTATCTTATCACTTACAATGATCTGAGAATAACTTTTAAGAATGTTTTTGCCGTTCTTCTCTTTTAGCTTCTTTTATGCTATTCGGCTAACTTAATGTTTTTAAGTTTTTTTTTTTGTTTTATTTTATTTAGCGAAAGGTGTTTACTGTTTATTTATAGTTTATAGCTAATTGTACTTCTTTCTAACTTCTGTCTTTTTCTTACTTCCAGAATACACCTGTATAACTAATTACATGGCATTTTGATGCAGTTGTGCTGTCCTTTCTTTAGCCTTTTGTCAAAACTATATATATATATATATATATTAATTGTGTTGTTTAATTTATCTTACCTTTCAATAATAAACTATAGGACATTGGTATTTTACAGTGATGATCACTCCCTGCAGTTCCGCTCTTAAACTGTAGAGGGCATTGAGGGACAGGCTACCATCTTCTGCTGCCAAACGCTGAAAACAAGTGTTATTTTTAAAAATGAAATAATAAGCGGAATGAGCCCTGCTGGAGGACATAATAAAGTGTTTGTCATGTAATCACACATTCATCCCCAAAGATAACGAGGAGAAAAAAAGACAAAACTGATTGAACTTTGAAAATGACATTTGGTTTGTGCAAGATTGAAGGGAGAAAAATGAGAAGGGACAAAAAAATAATATAATCAGTGACAAAAAGCAGCAGCAGCAGAAGGAGGAGGAGGAGGAGGAGGAGGAGGAGGAATAAAGAGTCTGCTCACAGGTCACAGGAATCCTCCCAACATCTGCACACTGATAAATTATTTATCTCTGTCAGTTTCCTACGGTGTGGAGTCACTGAGCTGCACTGACTGCTAGTCATAACAACAAAAGCAATCACGTCCACATACTCTACTGTTAGTCAATGCGTAAATGCCTTTTGGTCAAACAATTCTAATCACATGACAGAGAGACAGAGGGTTAGTCCAGAAGGAGCTAACAGAAGCTAACAGCAAACGTAGGAAACGTATGAAAAGATAAGCTGAGAAAAAGCTGAAGTTTGAACTGAAAATGGAAGAGTTAACGTCCAAATCAGGTCAAAAGTGAATATTAAAGATAAAAGCAAAATATTCATCAAATTGGATCTAAAAATGGCTGAAGCTCTAAGCCAAAAATGTGAGAAGAGATAATTGTTAGCTTAGACGAAGCCCGAGCTAAGAAACTGAAAGAAAATAACAATTAGTCAGCAATTTAGCAAAGTAGAAAAGAAATTACAGCTAAAACAAGTAAATAAAACAATAAAAAAATAAACAGAAATGAACCTAATGTAAAAATATAAAAACAAACATAAATGTAATCATAGCAACCAAATATAAATTAATGAAAATAAAAAGAATTTGGAGAAAAGGCAACTTAAAAAATGTTACTGAATCTGACTTATGAAACCACGCAACGTTTCTTCTCAGTCCGAATTTTATTGGATTTTTACCACTAAACAGGATCACGATGTATAAAAGTGACATCCTGTTTTTTCTGAAGGAGACTAGGTTTACAGGTCAGAGTTTTTCAAACGTCCACCTCGGCCCACCTACAGCCGGGGACTGATCGACTCCCACCTGCATTAAGAAGCACAACTGAAAGTGACGGTTCGGTCGCAACGTTTGTTACTGAGACTGTGAAGTGTGTGGGAGCTGAGAGCAGCAGAACTCTCCATCAGCAGCATCAGACTGCAGCCCGTGATAACAGCCAGGCCCTGAAAAGGTCAGCGTTGATCACCGCATCGACGGCCGAGGGTCATTACACAGTCGGTCCTGATTGTTCCTTCTAACGGTGATGACGAACGCCACGGGTGTCAAACTCATTTTCACCAGGGGGGCCACGGGGGGGCCACATCAGCAGTTCCCCTTGAAGATGTAGATGTAACTCTATAAAGTATTAATAAATGTTTCTGCAATGGATTAATATTTATATCAGTTATGAGACTCTCTCATAAATATTAAGAGAAATTGAATAAAAATTCCTTGATCCTACAGCAAGCAAACAGTTCTGGGATCAGACGAGGCAGAGAGAGTGTGCATCTGGGGACATGGTTCTGTGTACGTTTATGCTTGTTTATGAAACCGTGCAAGATGTATTCTGATTGGTCAGTTCTGCTGAGTAGACCATTCCGTCGTCAGTGTATCTTGGTATTTATCTGTTTTCTTCTAGACCCAGAAGAACGACTACCGTCCGGTGAAAGTCTTTTTGCCGATTGGCCCCAGGGCCCACTTGTCCCTACGTACCTGGTAAATAAAACCACACTTTTTGCCGATTCCCTACGTACCTGGTAAATAAAACCACATTCGTGTTTTACACCAGTCCAGCCTTAACAAATCTTAAACAGAATGGAAGAGGTTTTAGTGGGAGCTGAATGCTGCCTGCTGCTAAAACAGTGCTGGGCTCAGCATCGATAAAACTGGGAGCCAGTTTCTGATTGATCACCGGAGCAGAGGAGGTTTCAAACTGCAGCCTTTTCTGAGGTCAGGACATCCAGGCTAAAGTTTCTTGCAGAAAAGAGCCGGTGCTCAGCCCCTCAGGGTCGGTGACCGCCTCAGACCTGCAGCTTGGTTTTCATGGCAACTTCAGCAGAGACACTGCAGCACACGACGTCAAACAACCTTCTCTGGCTCCGCCGCCTCGCTGCCCCGGTCCTGGATCCAGCATCCGGTCTCACGACTGCAGGCTTGGCTCTGAAATTGCCTCTGCCTCCACTCACAGGCAGCATTTTATTAAAAGGCAACATGCTGCCACTGTTTTGTTGGCAGGTCAGAAAATGTAGTGAGATAAAAGTGAGATGAGGTGGAGCTGTAAAAATATCTGGACTCCACTGATGTTATGACTTGGTGCTTAGCTCTGGCACCCTGACGGTTCCTGCCCTGATGGAACGTGGTGCGGATGTGATCATGGGCAAACTCAGACGCAGCATCTTCGGCAGCAGATACAGCTCTGTATTAATGTTATCTCAGATTTGCAGACTGACTTTTTTCCCCCTCCTTTTCTCCTCTTCCTTCAGACCAACCGGGTGTCAGACGGCTGCCTTGTAAAAATCAGATGTTCTTCTGTGCCTTCAGTGATGAGTCTGCTGCTGTCAGGACTGATATTTGCTGTAATTTATTTTTTAAATCTGTCACCTTGAATAAACACATCAGGAGTCGACCTCAGATTTACGACTCATTTCTGCTGAGATAGATCGCTAGAAGAAAATCTGAGGGCACATTTAGCTAGCTATTTGTAGGCTAATGCACATTAGTGTGTACGTCAGTGTGTACAATCAGCAGCAGCAACAAGCTAACAAGCTATTGTCACCACTGCTTCAGAGACACGCAAAAATCGTCCACCTCTCACTGTACCTGAGTGTCCAAGGTTAGCATAGCCGGTTAGTTTAACGTCTCGTGAGGATTAAGGCCCAGGTATTAGGTTATCTTGTTTCCATATCGGAGGAAAAACCGGTACTGATTCTTACAGATATTACATAATTATGCTAATATTGGGACATCCCTAATATTTTTTTTATATATAATATACGGAATATATATATGAATATATATGCATATATATCCGTACCACCCGTACCAGTGTCGCCCCCTGTGCCTCACGTCATTAAACGTCGCAGACTTACTGAAAGCAGTCTTTCTGAGCGGAGACGTTCTTCAGGTACTGCTTCAGAGCCTCGCAGAACTCTCCCAGCTTCTTCTGGGAAACCACCATCTCCTGACGAATCAGCAGCAAGGACTGCACAGAGAGAAACAAACAAAAAAAAAAACACAAACATAAACATAAACACAGACGTGAATTTTCCTGGATTTTCAATTAAGCCTTTGTAATTTTTACGACCAAACACTGATATATATATATATGGCTGCGTGTGCTGCTCGACAAATTACTTTCCTACCCAAAATGCTTTGCTCTGCCCTCTGTGTAATTACTGTTTATATCATATTGACTGGATTCGCTGCTGTGCTTTTAGTCAGAATGAAGGTCTTTGGTTATAAAGAGCAGAAACAGCCCGGGTTAATGACTGCAGGACACACAGTGACATCAAACACAGGGCAGAGATGCTAATATAATTAGCTGACAAGAAAAGAAAAAAAGCACCATGACTCACTTCAGGGTAAAAACACACTAGAAATATTTAGTTACACACTCACTCCCTCACAGGCGACATTTTTGTAAAATGTAACTTTCAGATCTTTGCCTGTGGGAAAAGATCATTCAGGCCAACTGTGTGGACGGTAATTAGGAAATAAAGTTCCTTTTTTTTTTCTTGCAAAAATTATATTTGAATAAGTTCCTTTTTTTCTTGCAAAAATTATATTTGAACTGACTTACACAGTGGGACCCCGTGTGGGGAAGAAATGCGAACCACATCGACCAAGTCCATGTGTTGACTTCAGGTTCAAACTCAAACTCGCCGGTTATTTTTTTTTAATTTTTTGCTCAATAACAAACATCGTGTTTTTGCCGTATATCGGTACATTTCTTTTTAATATAAAGGTGAATATTTCTGGCTGACTTTTAGAAACTTACATTTTATTTTGAGTCCAATTATTTAACAGTTTTTGGCTGTTTTTGGGGTGACTTTAATAACTACATTCATGTAGGACGTCCGATTATATCGGCCAATGGATATTATCGGTTGATATTAGGTTAGTTAAGTAATATCGGTTTTTCCTCCGATAATGAAATCCCGATATCGCAATGCCTGAATTTTGCCCAGATGATGTGACCTAAAAAAAGTTTTGAAGTGAAAGTGAATTGTTGTTATTGTGACAGACGACTGCAGACAATAAAATGTGTCATCTGCCTTTAACTCAAACGGCCGCATATATCGGTATCAGTTAATATCAGAATCTAAATTAAGTCTTTGGACATCGGCATATCGGATATTGGCAAAAAAAAGTATCGGACATCCCTAATATTTACCATAACTTTGTCATAAATTTGTCAAGGTGTTTGAAGGTACAGTACATCGTTGAATAACTCCGGCCCAGTTTTGTTTTTTTACAATATTTCACTCCTAACTGAAACCCAGCCGTGATATTTTTTCCAGCGAGTGCCGTTGCAGAATCATCACATCGTCAAATTAGGCAATAAAATGAAACATGTTCTTGTTTAACTTTTCGGTGAGACGGCTCATATCCTGCGCCGGGCGGATATTAGCTACAGCCTGGAAGCGGTCGACACATTTCCACCCACTTGTGTGTGAGTGCGTTTACCCAGTTTTTGATTGTGTGTTTTATTGCCGTGTAACAACTGTTTATCTCTCCGCAACGCCGTTCATCTGGCGCCATTACCACAAATGGCTGTCATGTGGCAAAATCCCTTCAGCGACATTAGGATGCATGAATGAACCCAGTAAAGAGTGCGAGCGGAGCGCGTGTGATTTATGAGGCAATGATTCGGTGAGCGTGTTCCTGTGCATCGCACACAACGGTGAACAAAGCTGACGGAGTTACGACAGCTGCACCTGAACACACACACACACAGACACACACATTCTACCAACTCAATTAGAGACACTACATTGTCCAGCAACCTTACTTAATCCAATCATCACCACTCCATTAACCATCCTGCCTCCTTGACCAAATCAGTCCAATTACATCCTCCCCTCTGACACCGTGACTTTGTACCGGTGGTAAATCACCGGCCGTTTTCACTGCGCTGCTAAAACTCGTGTTAATATTTCATCACTAAATAAATGTGTTTCTGTCTTACAGTGGTCAGAAAAGACCCCAGAAACTAAAGTGATGATGTCACTCTGTACTGTTTTGTATGAATCATGCTCTTTATTATCGTTCGCCTTTTTTAGAGGAGTTCCTTAATTATCGAACATAGGCCCCTCGTTATTCCTGTTGTATTTCTTTGGCACAAGTTGAACGACTTCAAAACTTCACTTCAGTTTTTTTTGTTTGTTTTTTACACCAGTGTTGGATTAACATTGAATTACTTTTAATTCTATAATTAGGTAATTGAAAAACATAACGTTCTTACTGAAGCTTTTGTTTCACTACCAACACTACGAAGAATAATAAACAGCCAAAGACGGACACGATATTTAATTAACTTAAATATTTCTTTCTACCAAAACAGAAATTAATTTTACCAATATAATTAAAGAAAAAATATGTAAAAATAATGCAATTAGATAGCTAGCTAGCTAGCTAGCTAGCTAGCCAGATAGATAGATAAGATAGATTAGATAGATAGATAAGATAGATTAGATAGATAGATAGATAGATAGATAGATAGATAGATAGATAGATAGATAGATAGATAGATAGATAGATAGATAGTAAGTCACACTCTCTGTGTCCAATCATCTTTTCCAGCTAAAGTTAATAACTGACTAAACTGTACTGAGACACGTGCTCAGAGCTGAAGTTTTCAACGGTAAGATGCCACTGAAGCGTGACGTTTGCCAGCTGCTTATGTGCTGAAGTTAAATGTCAGGCAGCATTTTCCCATTTCAGTCTCTGATTACGACTTGGTGAATGTCATGTTTACTGTAGGATTTAGAAGTCGCAGTCGAGGTTCTAATAAAATCGGGATAAAAAAATCTAAGCCTGGTGCCGTACGTCGGTTTGAAGAGATGAACTTTGATATTTCATCTGTAAAGTTGCTCTGCGTCAAATGTGTTTAGTTTAACTTTAATCTCATTTGAATTGAATTGTATCTCACATTTACTTTACTCAATGTTTTTTAATTATCGAAGTATCGAATTTCTTTTCTCTTTTGTTTTCAAAATGTAATCTATTTTCGCAAACATTTAGTAAAAATTAGTAAAAATGTGATCAGTTTGTTTTTCCTCCTAAGTAGTTACTATGTGTCGGCTAACCTTGAGTAAAAATGTGGTCAGTTTGTTTTTCCTCCTAAGTAGTTAGGATTTGTTTTTACTAACTTTTAACTATTTTCTGGGTCAGTCCTTATTTTTTTGTAACCACTTGTGCATTTATTTACCTTTTGGAATTTTTTGGCTTTTTTTAAAAATCCTGACTGCTCAAAAACAACGGAATCTTTTAGTGTTTCTACAACGATGTTTTGTTTTTTGTTTTAATATTTAGCCTCCGTTAACGTATCATTAAAAAACAATAAAAGAAACGTTTGTCAAAACAGAACAGTGAACAGATACTACATCTGAAGCCTACTTCAGTACCATCAGTACCTGGGCCGTACCATGTGAAACCATGTGAAACCATGGTCCGTTTGTTCGGTACAATCCTCTCATCATCCACTGATTTTCACCACAACATTTTCAGGCTCAGACTTTAGGTTTTTAGGTCATGTTCTGATCCAAGGCAGATTAAGGACTGATGTTTGTAGTCTGTGACTATTATGGGATGGTGATTACATAATCTCTGTTTTCTCTGATATAGAAAGACAAGTGTGTGTTTTCCTGCGCTTTTCAGGGTGGTAACCCACTGGGTATGGAAATGAGGGGGAGTACAGGGGTGTGTGTGTGTGTGTGGGTGTGTGTTATGAAACTAACGTTGCCATGGGAACTGGGAAATACCAGTTCCTCATATGCAGGTTCCTCATCCTAACACCTCTCCTCTCCTCGTTCCACATTCTTCATCTAACGTCTTCTCCCCCCGGACTTTTCTCCTCTTTCTTTCTTTCTTTCTTGGCCCAGTTTTCAGCTTTACATTTGACACACACTCCCCTCACTTTTACACACCGACATCTCCTGTACTGTTCCCTCCCTCCTGCTCTCACCCTTTCCTCTCTCCATGTTCATGGAATCCCTCATTAATTCATTAAAAAAAAAAGGGAAAGAAAGAAAGAAAGAACGAATTCCTCATTAGTGCGGAGGTCATTTGCATATCCCGCCTCAGTGAGATGGATGACTACAGTGTTCTGGCCCAAGGACTGCAGCAGTGGGAGAGAAAGAATAAACAGCTCAGAGCAGTTCACCGGCAGCTCGTCTTATTATTATGGTCTGTTCCAGCCTCCAGCAGCACCAGCCGCCGCGCTCTCTGGTTATTTGCTGAACAAATTACCAACGGAGGCAAAAAAAAAAAAAAAAAAAAAAAATTCAAGGACTTTGACGAAAATTCCCATTTCCATCTGCAAAGTGAAGTAGGTGTCAAGAGCCGGATTCCAAACGCTGTCCAGAATGTGGGCCACACACAGACCCACAGTGACAGGGAATTACTTGTCATTGTGACACAGCACTGCACACAATGAAATGTGACCCCGGCAGCTTGGGGATTCCAACCTGAAACCTTCCGGACCCACGTCCGCACTAATGCCCACCTTGCCCTATTTTAACTGTGTGGCCAGAAGAGGGCGACAGCTGATGAATGAAACTCTAAATGCTACTGAAAGAGTCTAAAAAAAAAAGTCTTGAATCTGTTTCAACAACCCCCACCGGTGCTGTGGGTAGTTGATGAAGTCACCGTTAACTGCCCCAGAAACAGATTTACCCCCAGGATATAAAAGACAAATCATTTGTGTCATGTGCATTTAAAAAAAAAAAAAATTATGAATGGGCTACAGATGGTGCGTGGTCTCAGGCTTAGTGCCTTCATAAAACCTGAACTATCCCTTTAACAGCTAACGACAGACATATGATCGTCGAAGACGGTGGATTTGAAAGAAGATGGAAGTGTTCTGCCTTCAGCTGCCAAGAGAAAGTAATTGTTTGGATGGATGTGTGCGACGGAACGGTCAATGAAATCAATTAAAGAGAGAAAAGCAATAAAGTCAAGACGTATAGAGAGAGAACGCAC